TCCTCTGACTAGTTAAGTTAGTTGGGGAATGGGGACTAGTTGGTTCTGTGGTGTGGGCGGGGCCTATTGCACTCACAGTGACTCGTTCAGTCTGCTGGTTATCAATAACGCTGGTTATCAATAATGCTGGTTCAATTCAAAACCAAGGACAGATAGACTACCAACTGATCATTATGTTTATAGAATCAGGCTAGAGACTAGAAATGATCATGATTAAGTTATTATTCTCAACATTTTCTGTTTCAGTGCAGGTAAGATATTTTCCCATGATGCCTTTGGCTTTGTTGCGGCCAAACCCTGAGGATCAAAAAAACGACCCGAGCGACAACCTACACAACCCCCCCCTCTCTAAACATCACCCTCACATCAACCATCACCCTAACTCACATCAACCATCACCACCACCCCTACTTTGTGCATTTTTAGAACAGTGCCGTGTCTGTGTGTGTCTTGCGAGAGAGAGAGAGTAATATTCTCTAGGCAGGAACAGTGTGTGTGTGTGTGTGGGACAGTGTGTGTGTGTGTGTGTGTGTGTGGAACAGTGTGTGTGTGGGACGTGTGTGTGTGTGTGTGTGGGACGTGTGTGTGGAACGTGTGTGTGTGTGTGTGTGGAACGTGTGTGTAGAACGTGTGTGTGTGTGTGTGTGTGTGTGTGGGACTATGATTTGAGAAAGTCGCATTAAAAGCTTGTTCCTTGCCTCAGTCTGATGGGGGAACATATGATCACTTGATGAGAGAACAACGTGTGCACACTATTCTCAATTTAATCTTGTCTTTACTAATATGTCAAATTAGTTTAGATTTAGAATGGCCCATTATCAAATGGGCGGGAACAGGGGGGAAAAAGAGGTAATCTGTATGCACTGGAATAGCGAATGGAGGCTGCGCTTTCCAATCATGCCAGTTGGGCTCCTCTAGTTTAATACGAGCAGCTGAGAAATAAATAAAGTAGCAGCTGGGATCCTCCTCTTTAGTGGCAGCCATCAAAACTCTGCTTGCACACAGGATTCCATATTGTAATGTCTGGGAACACATTTCACTCCACAAATCAACCAGTGTTTGAGGAGCATGCAGCCTCTCGCTGCGCGACAGGTGATATTCCGCACAAACTCTGTATGCCATGGGCTCTCCAACCCTGTTCCTCCAGCTACCCAGTACTCTGTATGCCATGGGCTCTCCAACCCTGTTCCTCCAGCTACCCAGTACTCTGTATGCCATGGGCTCTCCAACCCTGTTCCTCCAGCTACCCAGTACTCTGTATGCCATGGGCTCTCCAACCCTGTTCCTCCAGCTACCATACTCTGTATGCCATGGGCTCTCCAACCCTGTTCCTCCAGCTACCCCAGTACTCTGTATGCCATGGGCTCTCCAACCCTGTTCCTCCAGCTACCCAGTACTCTGTATGCCATGGGCTCTCCAAACCCTGTTCCTGTAGCTACCCAGTACTCTGTATGCCATGGGCTCTCCAACCCTGTTCCTGTATCTACCCAGTACTCTGTATGCCATGGGCTCTCCAACCCTGTTCCTCCTCCAGCTACCCAGTACTCTGTAATGCCATGGGCTCTCCAACCCTGTTCCTCCAGCTACCCAGTACTCTGTATGCCATGGGCTCTCCAACCCTGTTCCTCCAGTACCCAGTACTCTGTATGCCATGGGCTCTCCAACCCTGTTCCTCCAGCTACCCAGTACTCTGTATGCCATGGGCTCTCCAACCCTGTTCCTCCAGCTACCCCAGTACTCTGTATGCCAATGGGCTCTCCAACCCTGTTCCTCCAGCTACCCAGTACTCTGTATGCCATGGGCTCTCCAACCCTGTTTCCTCCAGCTACCCAGTACTCTGTATGCCATGGGCTCTCCAACCCTGTTCCTCAGCTACCCAGTACTCTGTATTGCCGTTGGGGGGGGGGCTCTCCAACCCTGTTCCTCCCAGCTACCCAGTACTCTGTATGCCATGGGCTCTCCAACCCTGTTTCCCCACCCTGTTTCCCCTACCCGTAAGTACTCTGTATGCCATGGGCTCTCCCACCCTGTTTCCTGCCAGCTACCCAGTACTCTTTTGATGCCAGGGGCTCTCCAACCCTGTTCCTCCAGCTTACCCCAGTACTCTGTATGCCATGGGCCTCCTCCAAACCCTGTTTTTCCCTCATCTACCCAGTAACTCTGTATGCCATGGCCTTCTCCAACCCTGTTCCCTCCCCCAGCTACCCAGGTAACTCTGTATACCATGGGCTCTCCAACACCTGTTCCTCAGCTACCCAGTTAACTCTGTATGCCATGGGCTCTCCAACCCCTGTTCCTCTCCAGCTTTTAAAAAAAAACCCAGTGATCTGTATGACCAGGGGGCTTCCTCTACAACCTGTTTCCATCCAGCTACCCAGTACTCTGTATACCATGGCATGGGCTCCCTCCAAACCCTGTTCCGCCAGCTACCCAGTACTCCTGTATGCCATGGGCCCTCTCCAACCCTGATTCCTCCAGCTACCCAGTACTCTGTATGCCCCATGGGCTCTCCAACCCTGTTCCTCCAGCTACCCAGTACTCTGTATGCCATGGGCTCTCCAACCCTGTTCCTGTATCTACCCAGTACTCTGTATGCCATGGGCTCTCCAACCCTGTTCCTGTATCTAACCCAGTACGCTGTATGCCATGGGCTCTCCAACCCTGTTCCTCCAGATACCCAGTGCTTAATCTGGGAAACCTAGAGAAATCTATTTGGGAAACATCGATAGTAACATGTTTTCAGTAAACAGTTGACAGCCCCTCTGCGCTTGAGAAAGGAATGAAGGAGAGCCAGGAGACGCACGGTGGTGAGATATTCTGTAGCTAAAGGTCATGTGTCAGCCTATTAATTATGAAAATATTAGAAATGCCCTATTACAAGGCTATTCAAAATCAAATACAAATTCACTGTAATTGTAGGCTTAGCCTCCCTGCACAATCAATGAACCAACAGCATCACCCAGACCTATACGTTCTCTCCCAATGAACCAACAGCATGGCCTAGACCTATACGTTCTCTCCCAATGAACCAACAGCAATCACCTAGACCTATACGTTCTCTCCCAATGAACCACAGCATCACCTAGACCTATACGTTCTCTCCCAATGAAACCAACAGCATCACCTAGACCTATACGTTCTCTCCCAGTGAACCAACAGCATCACCTAGACCTATACGTTCTCTCCCAATGAACCAACAGCATGGCCTAGACCTATACGTTCTCTCCCAATGAACCAACAGCATCACCTAGACCTATACGTTCTCTCCCAATGAACCAACAGCATCACCTAGACCTATACGTTCTCTCCCAGACTCATGGACAGAAGGTTTGGAGCGTAACATAAGGTAACCAGTCCATCCAATATGCGTAATAATACAGTCCACAAACAAAGGAGATTACTAGAATGTGTTTAATTGTGGACTCTAGGCTAGACCAATGATGTACCAAAGACATCTTCAATCAGTTTTGAATTTGAATAATTAGCCGTGAGTAATACGCAGTAGGCTATGTATTGTATAACGGCACAATCATTACTTTAATTCATTTTTATTTATTTTTTGGCTTGGGCTCATATACAGGCCTATGCTTATGAATAAACTCTAATATGCCTATGGGGGGTTTTGAATTAATCATCACCTTAGAAAGCATTCATTGTTAGGCTTTGAAACAACATCCACAACGATAATGTTTTCCACTCAGTTTCAACCTGCTGTTGAACTTCTTTCTTCAAACTGATCAATCACAGTGACGTGAGTACATACTGTTTTGACGATAAGTGTTTGATGTGATTTACGAACACATTTGCATTGACGTCAGAGTGGTCAGAGGGACAATAGAGCCCTGAGTACCAGGCCATCAGGACCTGATGATCATTGGCTAGTTGGGTTCTACCAAGGCATGTCCAGAGTGCATAACAGGAGATTACCGTGACAGTCACGTTGAATTTAACTGTGATCATGACTCAAGACTGCCGGTGTGGCGGTAATATGGTCACTGCAACAGCCCTATGTGGGAGGGGGAACGGGTGTTTGTGGGAGGGGGAACGGGTGTTGGTGAGGGGGAACGGGGTATGGAGGGGAACGGGTGTGTATGGGAAGGGTGGGAACGGGTGTTTTGGGAGGGGAACGGGTGTTTGTGGGAGGGGGAACGGGTGTGTATGACGGGAGGGGAACGGGTGTTTGTGGGAGGGGGAACGGGTGTTTGTGGGAGGGGGAACGGGTGTTTGTGGGAGGGGGAACGGGTGTTTGTGGGAGGGGGAACGGGTGTTTGTGGGAGGGGGAACGGGTGTTTGTGGGAGGGGGAACGGTGTGTTTGTGGGAGGGGGAACGTTTGGGAGGGGACGTTTTGTGGGAGGGGGAACGTGTGTTTGTGGGAGGGGGAACGGGTGTGTTTGTGGAGGGGGAACGGGGTTTGTGGGGGGGAACGGGTGTTTGTGGGAGGGGGAACGGGTGTTTGGGGAGGGAGGGTTTGGGGAGGGGGAACGGGTGTTTGTGGAGGGGGAACGGGTGTTTGTGGGAGGGGGAACGGGTGTTTGTGGGGGGGAACGGTGTTTGTGGGAGGGGAACGGGTGTTTGTGGGAGGGGGAACGGTGTTTGTGGGAGGGGAACGGTGTTTGTGGGAGGGGGAACGGGTGTTTGTGGAGGGGAACGGGTTTGTGGAGGGGGAACGGGTGTTTGTGGGAGGGGAACGGTGTTGTGGGAGGGGAACGTGTGTTTGTGGGAGGGGGAACGGGTGTTTGTGGGAGGGGGAACGGGTGTTTGTGGGAGGGGGAACGGGTTTGTGGGAGGGGGAACGGGTGTTTGTGGGAGGGGGAACGGGTGTATGAGAATGGTGTAGCTACTGTTGGTACTAAGATAATGATTATTGCTCCTTCATATCAAATGGGAGTGTGTATGTGTGACTCTCTCTCTCTCTGTGTGTGTGTGTGTGTGTGTGTGTGTGTGTGTGTGTCAGTGTTCGTTGGGCATATGTCTGATGGTGTGGAAGATCCAGTCCATCTTAGTGGTCCATCCTCCATGGTGGGCGTCGTTCATTTGCTTGGTGAAGTACTCCAGAGCCTCCTGGTGACACAAACAGGTTATAACAGGTTATAACACACAGACAGCTAATGGGGATCCATAATAAATACAAATACACGTCATAACTTCACTATACATTAGGGCAGGCAAATTCAAATCTGGTCCAGGCCAGTTCCACTGCAGTTTTTTCATTGTTCCCCTCTAATCAGGGCCTGATTTAGACCTGGGACACCAGGTGGGTGCAATTAATTATCAGGTAGAACAGAAAACCAGCAGAAGTCTTGGACCTCCAGGCTCGGATTAGGGGTCAGGTGTTCTGTATTACCTGTTGGCTCTTCTCCAGAGCGAGGGTCTTCCTCAGGTAAGCAATGTCATCAAAGGACTGTAGTTCAGGCATGCCACAGCCCAGCAGCAGAGAGAACAGGTTGATGAACAGAGAGGCATGCTGCCGGATGGCCAGGTATGCCTTGTAGCACATCTCCTGGAACCTGGGGGAGGAAGGAGGGCGTTAACAGGGTGTGTGTTCTCTGGAACCTGGGGGGAGGAAGGAGGGGGTTAACAGGGTGTGTGTTCTCTGGAACCTGGGGGGAGGAAGGAGGGGGTTAACAGGGGTGTGTTCTCTGGAACCTGGGGGAGGGAAGGAGGGGGTTAACAGGGTGGTGTGTTCTCTGGAACCTGGGGGAGGAAGGGGGGGTTAAACAGGGTGTGTGTTCTCTGGAACCTGGGGGAGGGAAGGAGGGGGTTAACAGGGTGTGTGTTCTCTGGAACCTGGGGGAGGAAGGAGGGGGTTAACAGGGTGTGTGTTCTCTGGAACCTGGGGGGAGGAAGGAGGGGGTTAACAGGGTGTGTGTTTCTCTGGAACCTGGGGGGAGGAAGGAGGGGGTTAACAGGGTGTGTGTTCTCTGGAACCTGGGGGGAGGAAGGAGGGGGTTAACAGGGTGTGTGTTCTCTGGAACCTGGGGGGAGGAAGGAGGGGGTTAACAGGGGGTGTGTTCTCTGGAACCTGGGGGGAAGAAGGAGGGGGTTAACAGGGTGTGTGTTCTCTGGAACCTGGGGGAGGAAGGAGGGGGTTAAACAGGGTGTGTGTTCTCTGGAACCTGGGGGAGGAAGGAGGGGGTTAACAGGGTGTGTGTTCTCTGGAACCTGGGGGGAGGAAGGGGGGGTGTTAACAGGGTGTGTGTTCTCTGGAACCTGGGGGGAGGAAGGAGGGGGTTAACAGGGTGTGTGTTTACTCTGTGTGTGTATGTGTGTATATTCTGTGTATGTGTACATCGTACCTCTCAAACTCTTTGGTCTTGGTACACTCCTGGACTCCCTTACTGATGACAATCAGGAAGTCTTGTGTCAGAACGAAGGGAACTCTCTCTCTCTTATAGCCAAACTTCTTCTTCTTATGATCCAGGAAGTGGCCAAAGTCTATATGGAACAGCTGAGAGAGCGAGAGATAAAAATCAGAGTTAACTATTGGTTAATTTCTTCAGGTAGATGGATAGTTGTGTGCGTTACCTGTCCGTTCTCCTTCACCATGATGTTGGAGTTGTGCCTGTCTCCTATACCCAGGATGAAGGTGGCTACACAGTACCCTGCACAGGACCGCGTAAACAGGTCTATCGCTCTGTCATACCTGGGAGTGGAGGGAGGGGTGGGGGGAATCGCTTTTTAAAATTCACTGGATCACGGCTATGCACAAGACAGAGAGAGGTGTTTAAAGTGTATATATAGCAGACAGACAGACAGGTGTAACAGACAGAGACCGATAGACAGACAGGTGTAGCAGACAGACAGACAGGTGTAGCAGACAGACAGACAGACAGGTGTAGCAGACAGACAGACAGGTGTAGCAGACAGACAGACAGACAGACAGGTGTAGCAGACAGACAGGTGTAGCAGACAGACAGACAGGTGTAGCAGACAGACAGGGTAGCAGATCAGACAGACAGGACAGAAGGTGTAGCAGACAGACAGGTTGTAGCAGACAGACAGACAGGTTGTAGCAGACAGACAGGTTGTAGCAGAACAGAAAGAAAGGTGTAGCAGACAGACAGGTGTAGCAGACAGACAGACAGACAGACAGGTGTAGGCAGACAGACAGGTGTAGCAGACAGACAGACAGGTGTAGCAGACAGACAGGTGTAGCAGACAGACAGACAGGTGTAGCAGACAGACAGGTGTAGCAGACAGACAGACAGACAGACAGGTGTAGCAGACAGACAGACAGACAGGTGTAGCAGACAGACAGATGTAGCAGACAGACAGACAGACAGACAGGTGTAACAGACAGAGACCGATAGACAGACAGGTGTAGCAGACAGACAGACAGACAGGTATAGCAGACAGACAGGGTGTACAGAAAAAGACAGGTACAACAGACAGGTGTAAGCAGACAGAGACAGGTGTTAGCAGACAGACAGGTGTAGCAGACAGACAGACAGGTGTAGCAGACAGACAGACAGACAGTGTAGCAGACAGACAGGTAGCAGACAGACAGACAGACAGGTGTAGCAGACAGACAGACAGGTGTAGCAGACAGACAGACAGTACAGACAGACAGGTGTAGCAGACAGACAGACAGGTGTAGCAGACAGACAGACAGACAGACAGACAGGTGTAGCAGACAGAAGACAGGTGTAGCAGACAGACAGACAGGTTAGCAACAGACAGACAGGTGTAGCAGACAGACAGACAGGTGTAGCAGACAGACAGACAGACAAGGTGTAGCAGACAGACAGACAGGACAGACAGACAGGTGTAGCAGACAGACAGACAGGTGTAGCAGACAGACAGACAGACAGGTGTAGCAGACAGACAGACAGGTGTAGCAGACAGACAGACAGGTGTAGCAGACAGACAGAGACAGACAGTATCAGTACAGGACAGACAGTGTAGCAGACAGACAGACAGGTGTAGCAGACAGACAGACAGGTGTAGCAGACAGACAGACAGGTGTAGCAGACAGACAGACAGGTGTAGCAGACAGACAGACAGGGGTGTAGGCAGACAGGACAGACCAGGTGTAGCAGACAGACAGACGGGTAGCACAGACAGACAGCAGGTGTAGCAGACAGACAGACAGGTGTAGCAGACAGACAGACAGTGTAGCAGACAGCAGACAGACAGACGGTGTAGCAGAACAGACAGTTAGACAGGTGTTCAGCAGAGCATGTGCTGACCAGAGGCAGGGTTAGCAGGAAGACAGGACAGGTTTACAGGACAGCAGAGGTGACAGACAGCCAACAGCAGGGGCAGACAGACAGACAGACAGCCTCGTTAGCGACCGGACAGGAAGGTGTGTTAGAAGACAGAAAACGACAGGGGTTAGCAGACATAGACAGAAACCAGAAGGTTGTAAGACAACATACAGACCAGTTGTAGCAACAGACAGACAGTGTAGCAAGTCAGAAGACAGCGTTGTAAGCAGACAAGACGACAGACAAGTGTAGCAGACACAGACACAGGTTAGTAGACATACACGACATGTGTAGCAGACCTACTACATGAGCGAATGTTTAGTAGACAGACTCCCTCAGATCAGTGTAGCAGACATACTGACAAGGTTTAGAGACCAACCCGACAGGTTGTAGCAAGACCACTCCCCTGACAAGTTTCAGACAGACTCTCTGACAATTTTTTTAGTAGACGTACCGACAATGTGTACAGACAGACGACTCCGTCTGATCAATGTTTTAGAGACAGCCCAGACAGGTGTTTAGTAGGCTACACTGACAAGCAGTAGACAGTCCTGTCATGTCAGTAGACCACTCCCTGACAAGTTTAGCAGACAGACCACTGATCAAGGTGTAGAGACAGACCCTGATCATGTTTAGTAGCCCTATCCGACAATGTTTCAGTAGACCACTCCCTCTACAATGTTCAGGACCATCCTTGATCATGTTTCAGTAGGTTACTCCCTTGACAATTTCAGTAGACTACCCCGACATGTCCAGGACCTACTCCTTGATCAATTTCATAGACTACTCCTCTGATTCAATGTTCAGTCAGACCTACTCCCTCGACAATGTTTCAGTAGACCACTCCCTACGATCATGTTGGAGAGGGACCTACCCCTCTGATCATGTTTAGTAGACTACTCCTTGATCATTTGGGCTACCCTCTGATCAAGTTAGAACCTACCCCTCTGATCAATTTCAGGCTACCCTGATCAATGATGTACGCTAACCACCCTCTATCAATTTCATAGTCACTCCTAGACTGATCAATGTTAGTAACATCCTTGACATGTTTCAGTAGACCTCTCCCGCTGATCAATGTTTCAGTAGACCTTTAATCCCTCTGATCAATGTTTCAGTAGACCTACTCCTTGATCAATGTTTCATAGACCTACTCCCTCTGATCAATGTTTCAGTAGACCTACTCCCTCTGATCAATGTTTCAGTAGACCTACTCCCTCTGATCAATGTTTCAGTAGACCTACTCCTCTGATCAATGTTTCAGTAGACCTATCCCTCTGATCAATGTTTCAGTAGACCTACTCCCTCTGATCAATGTTCAGTAGACCTACTCCCTCTGATCAATGTTTCAGTAGACCTACTCCTCTGATCAATGTTCAGTAGACCTACTCCCTCTGATCAATGTTTCAGTAGCCTACTCCCTCTGATCAATGTTTCAGTAGCTACTCCCTCTGATCAATGTTTCAGTAGACCTACTCCTCTGATCAATGTTTCAGTAGACCTACTCCCTCTGATCAAGTTTCAGTAGACCTACTCCCTCTGATCAATGTTTCAGTAGCCTACTCCCTCTGATCAATGTTTCAGTAGACCTACTCCCTCTGATCAATGTTTCAGTAGACCTACTCCCTCTGATCAATGTTTCAGTAGACCTACTCCCTCTGATCAATGTTTCAGTAGGCCTACTCCCTCTGATCAATGTTTCAGTAGACCTACTCCCTCTGATCAATGTTTCAGTAGACTACTCCCTCTGATCAATGTTTCAGTAGACCTACTCCCTCTGATCAATGTTTCAGTAGACCTACTCCCTCTGATCAAGTTTCAGTAGACCTACTCCCTCTGATCAATGTTTCAGTAGACCTACTCCCTTGATCAATGTTTCAGTAGACCTACTCCCTCTGATCAATGTTCAGTAGACCTTTACTCCTCTCTATCAATGTTCTAGACCTACTCCCTCTGATCAATGTTTCAGTAGACCTACTCCCTCTATCAATGTTCTTAGTCTCTATCTTGATCTCTGTCATCTACCTCTCTACTCTCACTCTTACTCTCACTCTCTGTCTCTCTCATACTCTCTATCTCTCTCTCTATGTCTCTGTCTTCTCTCTGCACTTCTTGTCTCTGTCTTCTCTCTCTCTCTCTCTTCTGTCTCTCTCATCTCTTTTTCTCTCGTCTCTCTCTTTTCTCTCTCTCTCTCTCTCTCTGTCTCTCTCACTCTGTCTCTCTCTCTCTCTCTCCTCTCACTCCTCTTTTCTGTCTTCTGTCTCTTCTCTCTCTCTCTCTCTCTCTCTATCTCTCTCCTCTACTTCTCTTGTCTCTCTGCTTTTCTCTCACTCTCAGTCTCTCTCTCTCTCTCTCTCTCTGTCTCTGTCTCTGTCTCTCTCTCTCTCTCTCATGGTCGCCGATAGATGAAAGCTTAATTTTCCATTTGTGTCACTTCAAAGTGATAAAATATGTTTTTTTTTAACGAGTTATAAGTACAGCAGCTTTGTTTACAAATTGCAGGTCCGATTTTTCCAGGTAATTATGATGCATTATACATCACCTATTGGTAATTTCTCTCTCACACGTTATATCTGTTGCTCTGATCCACCACTACTACAGCAACACATCAACAATACAAATAGCCCTCTTATCATAAACAACACTCATTATAAACACATCAACAATACAAATAGCCCTCTTATCATAAACAACACTCATTATAAACACATCAACAATACAAATAGCCCTCTTATCATAAACAACACTCATTATAAACACATCAACAATACAAATAGCCCTCTTATCATAAACAACACTCATTATAAACACATCAACAATACAAATAGCCCTCTTATCATAAACAACACTCATTATAAACACATCAACAATACAAATAGCCCTCTTATCATAAACCCCCTCTGTAGCTCAGCTGGTAGAGCACGGCGCTTGTAACGCCAAGGTAGTGGGTTCGATCCCCGGGACCACCCATACACAAAAATGTATGCACACATGACTGTAAGTCGCTTTGGATAAAAGCGTCTGCTAAATGGCATATTCATATTAATTTAATATTAATAAACAACACTCATTATAAAAGAGAGTTGAGTGACGACTGTTAGCTCATTGCTGTTGCTCTAAGATGGCAGCTCAGCCCATGTGCCCCATTGAATCTCAACAAGGTAACAGTCGGTGGTGGTATTTGAATAACGTTTATTGAAAAAGTATTTTTTTCAACAAACAAACAAAGACTCGCAACTACAGAGGACAAACACAAGTACAAGGTGGGTGTTTCATCATATTTTTTTGTTTTTTAAGTATTGACCTCGGGTGAATCGATGTAGTCGGAGCTAGATTCCACAAAGCCTGGTCTCGGTTCCGCGCCGTTGGGGAAGTTCATCAGAAACTTCCTTGACCGAGGTAAAATGTGTTTTATATTGGATATTTGGTGGATATTCGGTTCTCTCTTGTCAATAGTTATTGAAC